TAAGCATTTTTGCAATACGATAAAACTTTCAAACTCTTGACAAAATAATCACCCTTTTCATTCCACTACTAAGGCACTTCTTTTCTTCTCTGCTTCGCAAAAAGGCAGTAGATAAACAAGGAGGACGTGATGCAATAGCTTGTTCCAAACTCAACTCCTGAAAAACATCGAATAACGAAGCAGAATTTAAAAATAACAATTTTAAAACCCGTCAACCTCCTTATTACCCGTCAACCGCCCGTCATCCAACCAATAAAAACACTACTAAAAGAATTAACAATAATATTAACAACACCTTGAACAAACACTACAACTCATAAGTGAAACATCTTCAAAGCAGCATTGCCTTCAGTTAGTACTTAGACTATTCAACATTTATCTTCTGAGGTCAGAACTGGAAAAAACCTGTTGTTTCAGTTTGGCAAGTTCATTTTGAAATATTGTGATAATTTTTTCTTTTGGAATATCGTCGTGCCTCCAACGACTGTTGGTTTTTTGCGGGGTAATACACGAATTAGAACCAGTGCGAGTTTTAACATGCTAAATCATACAAATTTCACACCCAAATAAACAAACAGACAAACATTTCAAAGCAGAATGGCTAAGCTTTTATAAAATTATCTTCTAAATAAAAATTGTACCTCATCATTAGTCTTCTGACACTTCTTAGTACAAGCACCATCCGAATAGCAAGAATCTTCTGGTTGATAATCAGTAAAAGCAGGCATGAAAGCACCTACATCCCAAAGTGATTCTGGTGCAGGAGTTTTGATATTTAACTCTTCTAAATTTAATAGGAACTACGGCTTTGCAACTACTTATTACAAGCAAACTGTTTATTTCTATAGAGTTGGAAGTTTTAATCGTTCTTCACAAAGCAAAAGACCAACTTGTCGACTGTATTCTCCTAGGAGCAAGCGAGCATAACAAAGCAACGGCTTTACCATCAGAAACCCAACCATAAATACGTCGAAAAGCTTCTCTTCCTTTATCAGTAAGTTTATTCCAGTGCCGCGGCTTAGATAACAATTCACTTAGTGATCCTTGTGACTGAAAAAACCAGCTATTTCAGAACAATTTTACACGAATTGACAATTTTGAAAATACTTTCACATTCTCAGTAAATTCATTTAAATTTATCTTCTCAAAGAAGCCACAAAAAAAAAAAAGAAAATACCTGATTCATTACAAATTTAGCAAACAGGCGTTGACCTATATTATAAGCAATCATAAGCCTTTTGCATTGTCGAGCAAGTTCCGCTGTATTTAACGGTCGCATACCTAACTGTCGAATGTTGCGATTAACACGAGCCTTAAAAAGGTGGCATACTTATTTAACCAGTGCTCAAAAACTGAATAGACTTCCTAAATGCAAAAGAGGAATGATTAAGATTGTTATACCTGTAATTCATTAACTACTTTTTCTTCCTCGGGAACACGCGAAGCTTCTTGCGAAGTATAATTAGATAAACCATTTTCTTCATCAAAAGAATAAGCGGGTTCCTGGCTTGATAAAGTACCACTCAACGAGCCAGCCGTACACTGAAAACAATGGCTTTTGACACCAAAAAAATAAAGAACAGTCAAATGAGTTTCAAAACTCTATAGAGAATTTAAATATTAATTGCTATATGATAAATACAGCTACCATTAACAAGTTCAATAAATTCGTCGCACACCGTTGTATTTCACCATTATCATTATCGGAAATGCCTGCCTCTGTGCTTGCAGACACACACTAAAAAATTAGAAAGATGAACATACTTGAAAACATTTAGAACAAAAAAGAGCATGAACAAAGTTATACCTCGTCCTTATTCCACTGAATGTTTGAATTGCAAACTTCATTACACGAACCGACAATGAGATCCAATGAATTGGCCAACGACTGAAGGTTTTCAACATCCAAAACATTTTTGCCACCTGATTCCCCCTCTAAAACACCCATTTGAAGAATAACAGAAACCTAAAAGACACCACAGAAGCGTAATAGACTACAATGAAGCTACAATTTGCTAACCAACATTCGTGATACTACAACACAAACAACAAATCCTACAAAATTACTTGGATTAACAAAAAGAGAACAAACATGCAAAGAAATTAACACACACCAACAATCAGGCATAAAATGAGAAAGCAACGTTCATATAAAAATAAAAAAAAAAGCCGTGAAATGACCAAAACAAACACAACACAAGACACCAATCATTCTGCAAGCGGCATTGAAGTACAGCTTCCGAAAAACTTTCATTTGTAATGTCAACTTTAAAATTTATCAATCATAGATTTTCAAAGTAAGCTGCCACCTATTCAGAATTCATTAAAACTAATCATCAAGGCAGCAAATGTACAAAGTGGCTACTAGAGAACTGTACAAAACTATTAGAGCTAAAGACATTTTTACAATAAAATGCTGATTTTTCTAAAAATTTAGGCTAACGAGGTGCTGTAAACTGTAACAGTATTCCGCTGCTTCAAAACCTTGTTGTTTTACGAGACGAACCAACCTTCAGCTTCCTGATTTTGCACTCTTAAAGTTGCATTTTCGTTTTGCAACTTATGATTTTTCTCTACCAGCAACTCATCCAATGCCTTTAAATGGCCACCAGAATGGACCTCAGCAGTTGCTGTTGCAACAGAAACTACTCCATTATTGGCACCAATGCCACCAGAATTTACTTCCTCACCAAACTCCACATTACGTAAAATGCTATAAATCGAAAAATTTTAACAGTATTAAAAATAAAATAAAAACAAAAAATCAAAAAACCACAAAACACAACGAGTAATACCGTAATTCTTTCTTTATTTCCTCATAATCAGCTTGCGCTTGTAGCTGAGCTTCCAACTCTCTAACAGTTTCCGTGTGTCGCTGAAGCTCCTCAGTTAACTCATCAATACGTTTCCGAGCTGCTTCTGCTTCTTCAGATAGTTTCGCTGATAGGGCTTTATTTTCTTCTAAGAGTTTCCTAATCTGAAACCAATGAACATATATCAAAAAACAATCCGTATAACTTTTTTGGGTCGTGATTTCAATAATACTTAAGTAAATTGATGCACAATAGCATTTACAACCTGACTGTCTTTAGAACGTATCAAAGCCGATTCACCAACGCTATTTTCATAAGAGCTTGAGGTTCCCGCAGTTTTATCAAGCTCTCCTCGAAGCCTTAAAACTTCTTGTTCTGCTTCAACCTACAAATTTCCTAAATGTCATTTGAACATATCTTTGAAAAAAACAATAATTTTGCGCAATCTTTTCAGAAAATTATTGAATTAAAATTGTATTAGGATAAATAGCTATCAAAGGACAGCAATAACGCACTGCTCGATGAACGGCTTTTTCTAAATCACTAGAAACAATTTCTAAATGTTCGTCTTCCATTGCCTCTTTCTGATCTAACTTCAACCGCATTTCTTCAGCGGATTTTCTAGCCTCTCGATTAGCGACCTAAACAGTTCATATTTTATGGTACTTCAACACCGTTGTACTTCTTAAAAAAGTCTACTCTGACTAAGAAATAACGAGGAGAAAATCAAATTTTTATTCACTTTTTAAATCAAATTTATTTTTTTAGAAGAAAGTTCACATACTTCTAAGTCGCCGACAGTAGCTGCAAGCGTTTTATTTTCCGCAATCAGAGCATCTTGTTTTTGCTCCATCTCTCTTTTCAGTTCATCAAACTCAGCTCGAAAATTTTTTTCTGTTTCTTTGAGGTTAGCCTAAAATTGATGGTAAGTTTTTTGTAAGACGTAAAAATGTAAAAATTCTTCAAAAAAAAAAAAAAAAAAAAAAAAAAAAAAA